GGAGCACTGGGTGTTATGCACAAACAATGAATCATGGAACACTTCATCTAGAACTAATGATGTAATGTATGGGGATTAACATAAGAATAAAAAAAAAATGCAAAATAGAAGCAGGGGAAAGGCATACACAGAAAACAGTCTGAATATATAGTGTACAATTATCCACCAAGTAGCCAAAGTTTCTGTGAATTAGTTTTCCTCACTCAAAAAAAAAAAAAAAAGTGATTTAGGCTGGAAAACAGTAGAAATATGTTTTCCGCATCTCAGATGCATTCCAACGTGGGTTGCTGAGCAAACCTGAAAGGCAGCAGGCATTCCCAGGCTCTCAGCTACTAAGTCTGTGGACAGAAGGCTGGCTCTGGGTCTGATCTAAGCTGGCTCTTTTCCTGTTCTTGTCCTCAGGCTGGGATCATTACAGAGGCAAAGCTGAAGGATCTGACACCCCCCATGCCTGTGATGTTCATCAAGGCCATTCCTGCAGATAAGCAGGACTGCCGCAGCGTCTACCCTTGTCCTGTGTACAAGACTTGTCAGCGGGGACCCACCTACGTGTGGACTTTCAACCTGAAGACTAAGGAGAAGCCATCTAAGTGGGTTCTAGCTGGAGTCGCTTTGCTTCTCCAGACTTAGCTGCCTGCAGAACCACTAAGAAAACAAGGCGGGGCTGGAGGCTGCCCAGGACAAGTGGGTGAGGGGAGACGGAGACGCAGAGATAAGGAATCACACGTACTCACAATTCTGTAGAATTCCTGTAGGGAACCTGGAGAGAAGGCAGAGCTGGAGGTGTCCAGACCCAGGAACTAGGGGAGAAGCATTTCAAAACACTGCACCTTTCCTAATAAAGTGATTGATTCTTCAAGTGTGTCTGGCCCCAGCTTTGAGAGCGGCAGAGTCATAGGTGATCCTGAAGTGACCAAGAGAAACGAACCACAAACACTTGAGCCCTGATGTTGGTGCACGGCACCAAACTCAGTGCTCGAGCTCCCAGCTACTCTGTGAACTAGACACTTCAGCATCACCCCCAAGTCTGCATTTTGACGAGCTCCCCAGGTGATACGTACGCACAGCACGGTTTGAGAAATAGTACTCTGGATTAGGGATCACCCAACTTTTTCTGTCAAGGGCCAGACAGGCTTTGCGGGGCATTTGTCTCCACTGCAATGACTCAGTGCTGCCACTGTGGACCCAAAGTGGCCCCAGCACCTACATAAGTGGGTGTGGCTGGGCTCCAATAAAACTGTATTTGCAAAAACAGGTGGGGGGCCATATTTTGCTGATCACTGCTCTGGAGGATAAGGGAAGTATACACATGATATTTATCCTTCATTAATTCACACACGCCTTCAATTTGTCAAACACCTACGGTTCGCTGAGAACACAACTGTGAATGAGTTAGGTTGTTTCCTTGTATCTCTATCATCCTTCAGATCATTTAAGAGGGACCCATGGAGAAACTCTTCACCTAAAGCTTTTGAACCTAACAGTCTTCTAGATTTTTCTCTGCGGAACAAATTTTCACTGGAAGCCCAAAGAGTTCCAGAGTTCTAAAGAGCTCTTATAGGGAGGCCTGTGTGCTAAGAAGAGTCCAGGAGGGCCCAGTATTCCTTCTAGAATCCTTAATCCTACATATCCTTAATGAATTATGATTTAGAACAGTGGCCCTAAATCTTGAGCAGGCATCAGAGTCCCCCTGGGGGGTTCGTTAAAACAAAGACTGCTGGGCCCCACCCTTCAGAATTTATGATTCAGTAAGTCTAACAGACTTCCGATGTTGCCAGTCCAGGGAACACACTTGCAGAACTGCTGATCTAAAACAAAATCCTGGGACACCTGGGTGGCTCAGTCGGTTAAGCGTCTGCCTTCAGTTCAGGTTGTGATCCCAGGGTCCTGAGATGGAGCCCCAAGTCCGGCTCCCTGCTCAGAGGGGAGTCTGCTTCTCCCTCTCCCTCTCCCCCTGCTTGTGCTCTGTCAAATAAATAAGTAAATAAGTAAATAAATATAATCCCAACACCCTACAAATCTCTGCTGTATCGAATACAAAATCAAATGCTAATTCCTCCATGATTTTCCTGCTTTCTGCCCTGTGGTTCCTGCCCCCCCTAATGAGGGGCCTTACTCCTCACCTCCATGCCATAAGGGAATTAATAAAATTCCTCTGGAATCCAGGAATTCCAACTTGAGTTTTGTCTCTCCTCATCAACCTGTAACATACTTGCCATGGTTTGCCAACAACCTACAGTTTCCTGCCTACAGATTAATCTGTTTGCAGGAAGACAGCTCTGCCCTCCTCAGGAGCCTCATCCTTCCTGGTCCTCAGCAACAATAAAACAAGCACAGGCGAGAGGAGGACCAAGACGGAAGGAAGACGGAAGTCTCACTCTGAGAGCAGGACCCTTGGGGCATGTGATCTGGAAGAAAGGACAAGTGTGCAGGTTAGATCTCCGTGTCACACCTCCAGACAGAACTGAAAGTAGATCAATACTACTGACTTCCTCCTAATACCTACTGACCAAATGAGATAATGAAGATCATTTTAGGGGCGCCTGGGTGGCGCAGTCGGTTAATCGTCCGACTCTTGATCTCAGCCTAGGTCTCGATCTCAGGGCCGTGAGTTCAAGCCCCGCGTTGTGCTCCACGCTGGGCACAGAGCCTACTTAAGAAAAAAAAAAAAATCATTTTAAAGCACACCCCACTTTGGAAAACTGACAGCCAGGAGAAAGAGGGGCAGGTTGTGGCAGCTGAGCAAGTGGGAGGTGAGCTCAGAAGGACACCAGGCATGACACACTTACCCGAGAGAAAGAATGCCCAGCACTAACCGAGTTCTCACACCTGGACACCAGGTTAGCAATTTCCTATTACTGTTCAGCTGACTGATAAACTTGGTAAGTTTGTACAGGATAATCAGGAGCTCAACCACCATTTAGGGTCTTCTATGAGAAAATGCACTTTGAGTTACAGTTAAAACAAAGTCGACACTAGAGACACAAATAAGATAGGGAGTGACGTTGTTTATTTAAAACGAGGGACACCTGAAGTTAATTTTTGTACCTGTGTGACAAGGAACACACGGGAGCTCCCTGGCCCTCTCCGCTGCCCCTTCTGTAACAAGAGATCTGCTCTAGGACCCCCAACCTAAAGAGCTGACCTGAGGTCCTTCCCATGAGCAGCAACTGCCCCTCATCCAGTTAAACTCTCCCCAGACAGCACTTTTAACACAGGATCTCCAAAACAAGAAATGAGCTGAAAGATGAAGACTTTTCTTTCTCCTGACACAGAAGCAAGAAAATAAACCAAGGCAAAATCCAACCCAGAGGCCACCATGTCCTCCCAGTCCAAAGCCGTGTTCAGGTAACTCTCCTCTCTCATCCATGATGATAAAAAAAGAGAGAACAGGGCTGGTCTTTAAGAGCTGCAATTTCTCCAGATGGAATGAAGTATTTTTAAAAGGACCAGAGCCAGAACTGGGCTAAAAGAGCCTGACTACTGAAAGGGCTTCTTTCCTAAATGGGATCTTTGATGTTTATCAAGGCTCGAGCTCCAGCTGAAACTCTTCCCGCAGCGGGAACACTTGTAAGGTTTCTCTCCTGTGTGAACTCTCTGATGTCGATTAAAGTTGGATCTCTGAATAAAACTTTTCTCACAGATGGGACATTTATAGGGTTTCTCTCCCGTGTGGATCTTCTCATGGTGACGCAACCCCGAGAAGTCGCTAAAGCCTTTCCCACAGTAATCACATTTACAAGGCTTCTCTCCCGTGTGGATCCTCTGATGCTTCACAAAGTCTGAACTCCGTAGAAAGGCTTTTTTGCAGGTGGGGCACTGAAAGTACGTCTCTCCGGTGTGAGTTCTTTGGTGGAAAACCAGCTGAGAATTCCTATAAAAGGTTTTCCCACACTCCCTGCAGGTGGGGAGTTTCTGGGACATGGGGGCTCTTGGCTGCCCTTTCGGAGAGGCCTCTCTCTTCTCCTCCAGCCACAGCAGGGACAGTTCTTCCGGATGGGGATTAGCCAAATGCTGTTTCCCAGAATTCCTTCCATGGGGCGAAAGCTGGCTCGCTGGCCCCTCACCCTGAAGGTTTTCTGGAGCCTCGGGGAGACTGTCCCCTTCTCCAAAGCATCTCGGTTCATCCTCACTGACGAGGCCACCCAAGGACACCTGAGAAGGTGCCTCACCTGACGCTTCACAGGAGACATCAGAAGCTTCCTGGCCTCTACAATTTTCCAAATTCACGTTCTCTTTGTCATTCTCCTGCCTGTCTCCTGGAAGAAGAAAGAAGATTTGAAATCATTCAATCAATGGGATGCCCTGTTTTCTAACTGGTATGAAGAAAAAAGGTTCATCATGAAACATTAATTCTTCTTGTCAAGGGAGCATCAGTGAGTGAGGAAGGATATCATCATCCAGCCCGAGCGCCTGGCACTCACTGCTGGGGTCCAGGCTAAGTGATCCAGCTCTGGGGCTGAGGAGAACGTCTGACAGCAGAGGGGGTGCACACAGGGCTTTGCCGACCGCCCCTGCCCCTGTAAATGAGCCACATTCTTTTTTTTAAGATTTTATTTTTAAGTTATCTCCACAGCCAACATGGGACTTGAACCTAAAACTCCGAGATCAAGAGTCACACGCTCCACCGACCAAGCCAGCCAGGCCACCCCGAGCAGCATGCATTTCTTACGGCCCAGGAAAAACAAGGGTATTATATAAGGGTGTTACTTTGAAAAAGGATTCGTTTTTATCTGGTTCTACATAAAACATAAGTCTGATCATTAAAAACAATTTGGAGAGAAAAACAGAAGAAAACCAATCCAACCTCAGTCATACTACCCAGAGGTAGCAACCATGATTATACATTTCCTTCCGGTGTTTGTTTAATCTAGACATATGTATAGTTTACATATGTGCGTGCTTTTCTTTCTTTTTTTACATAATTGATATCATACTGTATACACAGTTCCATACCTGGCTTTGTGGCACTTAAATTGTAAATGGCGGCATTTACCAATTTCACATGGATTCTCCCATTCACGAGTCACCTAAAACTTCATGAAATGCATTAATGTGTCACTTTACTGTGTGGCTTTAATGCACAGTGAGGCTGTGGCGCTGAAGTGGATCCCTCAGTCTGTGCCTGAATGCAGCATTCCCTGTGTTTCACTAACTCGGGTTAACAGTTAAAATTCTGTTTTTCTCCGGGTGCCTGGGTGGCTCAGTCGGTAAGCGTTTCAGGGTTCTGGGTTCGAACTCCACAAGGGGCTCTTTGCTCAGCTGGGAGTCTGCTTCTCCCTCTCACTCTCCCTCTGTGCTCTCGCTCGCTTTCTCAAATAAATAAAAATCTTTTAAAAAAAAGATTATTTTTCTCCTAACTTAAGTTTTTGGTTATTACCACTAAATGATAGATAGAGTAAAAGCTTTTATTTTGGTGGCAGAATTTGTGTCCAACTTTTATAAATTAGGGTTAGCGTTAGGGTTAGATCCTTTCTCTTTCCTGTATTAGTGTCTTCAAATTATCTGTTAGAGACCCCGGAATCTGCTAACAACTTTACCTGACTTGTTAATTCACAGAGTCTTAGAACATACTCCTCTCAAATGACAAAGGTACTTTTCTCTTGTCTTTAAAGAAGCCTTTATAAATATCATTTTAAAGCTGAATTATAGTCCATCATGGAGACGTCACCATAAACACATAATACTAAGCACTTGACTTACTGAATTCTCCTACTGTGGAAATCGAAGTTGTTTGTTGTGGTTTGGCTGCTATAAATAATGCTGCGATTTTTCTTCATCCATTTTTGCCCACATTTCTGACCACTTCAGGTTCCTTCAAGTGTTACTACCGTGTCAAGAGACGTGACGCTCTTTCTGAGGCTCCTTACACTGACTGGCAAATCCATCTCCAGAAAGACTACGCCCTCCCGCTTAGCTGGGCTAAGCGAAGGGGAGTGTTCGATACTTAAATACTGAGTATTTCTAAAATACTGGCCACTGAGAGTGGTGAAAGAAGTAAGCTTTTCATTGCTATAAATTTTAATTCCTTAGTGAATGAAGGATGACTTCTTTCACATTTATGAGCTATTTTTCATAAGACTCCTGTCCGTTTTTTTACTGGGAAAGTCATTTTTTCTTATTAACCTGCATTAACTCTCTCATATTAAGAAAAATAATCATTAATCTGTCGTGTTTTTGAACAATGTTTTTCACCAATTTAGTTACCTTAATTTTGTTTGGGGTTATTCATGTTTGGAGTTATTTATGTATATGTGTAAGTTGTGGGGGTCTTTTATTTTTAAATATACTCAACTCTATCAATCTTTTCCTTTAACAGTTTTCTTCCGTGGCTTTTATATTGATAAAATCTTCCCCGTCCCAGACGTGAGTCAAATATTCACCCACATCCTTCCTTATTATTATTTTCACATATCTTTTTCATCAAATTTAAACTAATTCATGAAGAACCCCTCCTCCCATGGATCTGCGCTCCCTCTTCCCCCGCCACATGCTAAATCCTCATACAGACCAGTGTCTCTTCTGAGGCTCCCTTTTCTGTTCCATCAGTCTGTGAGGCTATTTTTATATCAGTATCCCATCATTTTAATGACTTCACCTTTCTAAAATGACAGATTTTTTTTTTTTAAGTAGGCTCCATGCCCAGTGTGGGGCTCGAACTCATGACCCCGAGATCGGGTCGCAAGCACCACCAACTGAGCCAGCCAGACTAAAATGACAGACTCTTAATATTTATAGATCTAATGTTGATGAAACATTCTTCTTCCAAGACTCTTTCGTATTCTTGCAGTATTCTCCCAGATAACTACTGAAGATTCATTTTCCTAAATA